AGTTAGGACTTCCACAAGGCGTCTTTCCTATTTGTTTTTTTTAACTTTGGTCAGAGTTAGTGCGTTTCTGGCACAGTGTCTGATTTTAGTGGTGAAAGGAGGGACCTTAGAGACAGCTTGTTGAGAATAAAAGAAGCTATGGTGCTTGTATATCCTCTGACATCTGTCATCACTGCAAAAGAAAAAATCGGAGCCAGCTGACCCGCAAAGCTGTGAGAACGCGGACGCCAGGTGAGAGCAAGGTTTCTGGCCTGTGACACCAAAGTGCTGGGGCCACTTGGTGAGAATCCTTCGCGTGGCTGCTGGCAAAACTGGATAGGAGGATGGTACAGATGGACTGCGCTGCCATTAGGAGTGAATGACAACCCCAGAGTAGACTTTTTTCTTTAATTAGCTTATAAGTATTTTTGTGCCCTGAAGTACCCCAATGAGTTCATTAGGTTGCCCAGATGCTAAACAGAAGTTGCACCTTCAGCTGGAGTAAATCAGGGGAAAAACAAAGCAGTAATGAAAAGAAGCAGAGGGAATAGCTACTGCATGTGTACCTGAGAGTTTCGTAGCAGCCACTCCACCAGTGCAAATATTACAAATACTTCCCACCTGTTCTGTCCTTTGGGCACTCACTTGAAGCAAGTTGCTCTGAAGGCGATATTTTTAGGTTTGTTCCAGTGAGGAGTTCAAAGCAACTTGATATCCTGGAAAAAACGGCTCTGAACAGCCTCGGAGACCTGTGTCACTTCATTCCTGACCTTTTTTCTTTTTTGTGGGTGAAGGAGGCAGAGGATGAAGGAGGTGCAGAATAGGCATTGCTGTTTTACTTTACTGCACAGTTTGGCAGGAAAAGTAATCTATTGCAAGTATAAGTACCTTGGGCCTCACTGCATGTAAAACTAAGCAGAAGAACAAAAGGAAGTGAACTGGAAGGAAAGAAATTCGCATTTCGGGTTATTTAAAGAAGGAAACGTCCACATGGATCAATTTCCCAACAGTCCAAGGGGAACGTGGAGATTTCTTTTGCTTGGATGTTAAGACGTATTTACCCTATGGTCGCCACGGACTCTGGCTCGCAGAGCTGAAGTCTCTCCTTGTAACACTAGTAGCCCAGGAAAAATGAGACGGAGCAGATTTCAAGTTTGTAGCTGCTGGGGGAAAGATGCTTCCTTACGGCTTTATTAAACTCTGAATTACATCAAGAATTATTCGGTTGCAGCCAGAGCCAAGCCCTATAGACAGGACTGGTGTTATGGGTTCTGGCAATTCCAGATGGGACTGAAATGAAGTCGGACATAAACGCTGCACTGGTTTGTGTCTTTCTTTTAGCTGATGTGTTTATACAATGTGAACAAGTTTGAATTTACCTTGAAAAACATGATGGTGCTGGCAGCCTCTTTGAGAACATTTTTCTTCTCTCTCAGTAAGACTTAGGGGGGAAGAAGAAAACTTTTGTTCATACTGGCTTGTTGTCAGTAAGTTTTTATTATTTTGCTTATTATTTTAAAAGGAACATGCCAGAGAGTGATACTTAGGAAGCTGAATCTTTGATGTAGGAAACAGTTACTGCAGCCATTTTATGCTGACTGCTGAGTAAATGCTTTTCATGTATACGCTTGCTTGAGCCACAGGTGTTGCATTTTCTGCCTCTCTGCCCCCCCCCCCTTTTTTTAAGCTGTGAAGTATTTCTTTCTCATCTTCTAACTGAGGATGTGCAAGTTCTTTAATATCTTAATCACCTGTGTCCAAGACCTACAAATTCTTGGATGGAGGAGTCCTCTACGAGGATGGTCATAGTATGGTCCTCTACGAGGCTGGAGAGTACATCTGGGTGAGTGGCTGCTTGAATCATAACAACAGAAGCAGAGCTGGATGGTTGTAGCCTCGCAAAAGGACTGCATGTCAGTTCTCAGGAAGGTGGCTAAGGCAGTGTAGACGTGCCTGAACAAAGGTCTCTTCTAGTTGCTCTTGAGAACAGTGTTTGTGTAATGGAGTAAAGCTGAGCATCTTCCAGGCTTCTCACATGTTGTCTTCTGCCCTTGTTGAGCTTGTCGCTGTCTTGTGATTACTACCTGAATTAGCTGATCTAAAGCCAGCTCATGTATCTATGTATTATACAGCAGAGCATAAGCATATCTGAGATCCTGCAGTTGACACAAAGCCTGTAACGGAAGGGACTGTAGCATGAAAGGAGTGTTTTTCTTATCCCTTAGATGTCTTCTGCTCCATGTGGCACAATGTTTAAATGCTGCTTTACACTTTGATGTTACTTACCTAAAATTTACCCTTTGCCTCCTGCTCTGGTATATTTCATAAGTGTTTTTTGTCCTGTTAGTAAAATCATTTGGGATTTGGGTGAGAGAAGATACTTCTCAGTTTCCAAAGTGCTTATTCACAGATGATGTTGACTAATGATCCTTTCATGGTGGTTGTACACTGATTATTTTTAGTTCCTGGAAATGGACATCATCAGGTTTTGAAAGTTTTTCACATTAGATCCTGTGGTTTTGAACCTTTCCTGTGGATAAATTCATTAGACACAACTAAGATCCTGCAGCTGTCATTTCATTGGCTCCATGAGGCTGTCTGGCTGTCGTCATAGCAGAGAAAAGGAGGCATTGGGGTTAGGGGATGTTCCTAGTTTTGTATAAATTCTCCGTCTGCCTTGAGGCCGTTCATCATGTTAAGAAACAGTAACATCAATTAGGTCATCAATGCATCATTCCAGCATTAAGGCTCCATTAGAACTGTGGTTCCTAGGATTTGCTTCAGATGCTAATGCTATGACATCCCTCTAAACCAAGGCTCGTTTACACCTGCTGCCCTAGATTCAATTAAATTGGTGTATTTTGTTGGTTTTGGCATGTTCTTCATTTATTGAAGCTGTGGCTCTGCTTGTGGCTTGTTCACATTTAAATAAATCTGTGAGGATATGGGAGTGCAGATGACTGATAAAAGGACCAGATACATCTTCCCTAGCCTTTTATTCCATTCTCGGGAAGGGGTCTGCCTCTCTGAGGATCAGGCCAGGAACATGCCTCTTGCCTGAGGCTGTACTTGACAGCAGGGTATGCTCTGCTGCGTATCAGCTGGCTTGCTGGCAGAAGGTAGCCGTGCGTTTCACTCCTCTGCTGGCTATTCGCATTTCTCAACACACGTTATCCCTGTAAATGTCAGAGGGACGCGCCGGAGGGTTCCTGCACCGTTGACGTCAGTGGCCTTGCATGCAGTTTACTGGGGACTTTGCACAGACTCCTGCAGTAGCAGCTCTTCATGGTGTCTTTTTGGAGGAGTGACCCATCAGGGCTTGTTGGTCTTTGGCTTCTCTTGGGTGTTGACTCTTCTTAGTGATTGCTCTGCAGTCTCAGGGCTGTCAGTACGCATCATAAACACATAAGTACCCTTCAAACAAGCTAAAGTAAAACTAGTATTGTTAAGGGAGCAATTATTTGGCAATCCAGACCTTGTGCTTCAGA